GGCGCACACACCGCTGCGCCAACGGCGACTCTTGCTCCGCGCCGTCCACTGTAGTGAGGTGCTTTACACCGCTTTAAAGTTCGATCACTGACACTCAGATTCTTCAAACCATACGAAGACTTCCTTCATGCAAGATTATTCATCGCCACCAGAAGATTCACCTCGTGTTACCTGGAGCTACTTTCGAATGTCTGAAATTATTTGCCGGAACATTTGACCAATCTGTCACGTACGCTGAAAGCAAGCGGCATAAGGCAACCGTTGAATAATCAAGACAAACTAAGACTTTAGCAACTCTTCAAAACTACTAATAAAAGTAATAATTACTACAGAATAATTAATACATTATTATTATTATTATTATTATTATTATTATTACTATTATTGATACAAACAACGCCCTTCACTTATTGGCCATGTTTACTATACATACGGATACGGGGACAGTGTATGCACAGATATTTATGAGAATTAATTCTAGTGCCACGCGTTCATAAAATCTAATTAAATATTTAATCGAAACTTAATTACAAATACCTATGTTACATTAACTCCAGACGTGACATGTTTGCTTGTTACGCCAATAAGAAGCAAAAAATACATAATAAAAATCATACGTTTAGTTATAATTAACGAGCAAGTACAACTAAATATAATAACATCTGAATGAATAAAGCAACTTTCTGATAGGTTTGGACACTTCAATAGTTACTGAACAAACGTAGCGATTAGTGTCATTTCACCAGGCAATAATGTATATCATTTTCAGAATATATTTCATTCGACAGGAGGTAAACTTGAAATAAACATTCATAATTGCTTTGGAGGTATTCTTCCAAACACTATTTCATTACATCGTGAAAACCAACAGAGCGCGTAGAGAAAGACAGAAACGTGGAAAAACCAACTGAAATCGAGCGCGACGCCGCGGCGCCAAGCAGAATGTGTGCGGGGTCAACACACTTCTACCTCTATCGCTTAGAATATCCACTAACACGCACGCAGTTGCCGCCCCCCCCCCCAACGCCTCACATCGTCACTAACTCGGTGGTGCTACTACGGACGTCTATTTTTGTTTTGGTTACAGCACATAACGATCGATCGATCAAGTGGCGTCATCGATTGTGACACAAAAGCAGGGAAGTTCCGCGACGAGTTTGACGCGGAGTTAAGGTGGAAGAGTGAGAGAGAAAAAGAGGTAAAATGTTACGAGTGGATTCACGTAAGGACTTCACTTCACGCCCATAATTGTATCACATTGTGTATTTTTTTCTTGTGTGATTTAAATGCAAATTAAGAAAAACATTAAAAAAAATATGAGATGCTGAAAACTGAAGTGCTGGATAAATTAATATTTTCTTACCGCTAATGGGATTCGCATGTGTATTTCTATAATTATTCTTCGGAGAAAAATATTTCAATTATTTTCTGCCACTTTTTAGAAAATCATATTTTCTTTTAAAGTGACTCCAGTCTTAAAAGTCTCATAGATGATACTCAATATTTACTATTTTGGCACTGTAAAACTTACTTAACTACACTTGTGTTCAGAAATTACTTGGCTAAACATTAACCAACGAGGAATGCTGTGAATTGACAGTTGTTGAAGTGATTGATTCTACACTACCACACATGTCAGAAGACTAGTCGGGACTTCAGAGCTTGTGCCGGCTGGAGCAGTGCCACGCTGATGAGAGAGACATAGACGAGGAAAATCCCCCAAACCCAACATGGTTCAGTGCCGGATCGCACTAGTCAGAGGGACAAGATTACCGCCACCTCCATCGATAGGACCATGAACTACATTTACTGGACTAATGAACATAGCCGCTGACGCATGCAATCAATAATTAATAAATGAATTAATTAAAGTGACTGTTGTGAAGTGTGAAAATTCCTTAAAATGACTAGACGTTAATAATGACCAAGAATGTTCTCGTCTTGGGCAGTCAAAGAATTTATTTTCAACTTAAGAATTCCCACGTTCCTGACCATCATCTCGCATTTAATAGTGGCATGGAAAAACCAATTACATATAAGCGAATTCATGGCTTTCGATTCAACCTACTTATGTGATAACGGTTGTCACATCCGCTTTGTAAGGGAAAAAAACATAATGAAATTTTTTCAAAAAAACATTCAAAATAAAAGTCTCTTACAATATAGTTACACGATTCATCTCGAAACAGCCCCCGTGACCCAGATGTCACATGAAAACGCGTATTTTTATTCAAAATACATTTCCACAGAAAAAAAAAACAGCATCCCGTGGCACGGCCACGTCCCGGGTCGGTCAGCCGGTGGGAGGACACGCCACGCTTCGGGACCAAGGGAACGGGCAGCCCCAACGGCCACACACGCCCGCCGGCAACGAGCGCCATGTTTGTTCTTAAGCCCGCCGTCAATCACCGTCAGTGGCTACTGGGCAAAAATCTGAAACCTTTTATGCAGGCCGGCCTGAACGCGCTTCCGGCAGCGGAGGCGCCGGACCGCACGGGCGCATGTGCGAAAGTAACCGAGTTTCACATTCGGCCGTAAATAAACATCGAGGGTGAATTAAAGCGCCGGACATATTAGGTTTTACTGCTCAACATGTGTATATCTCCATTTCGGGAAGGGAAGGGAAACGAGGGAGGGAGGGAGAGAGAGGGAGAGCGACAAAAAAAAGTATACTGTCGCTGTAAAGATGAGGATTTATACCAACGGATTAATTGCAACTGGGAATATTAGTAACAAAAAAATAAAAACATGCGCACGGCGCTTCTATACACAGAGCGCGCACGCGGGACCGGGTTTGGGACTAGTTAAAAATCCATTAAGCCGCGACAGGAGGCGACGTCGCCGCTGTCGAAGGCGGAAAC